GCAACGGAGGATGGGACCAAAGCCATGAATGAGGCGATTGCCGCGTTCCGACAACCGCCATGGAGCACCCACCCAGATGAACACTGCAAGATGCTCGAACAACACTTGCGAAGGTCTATGGAGGAACTCTTTCCGAGCAAGACCTACAACAAGGCCTCCTACATCCCTCCGGTGGTATGGGAATGGCGAAACAACAAAATGGCGCTGAAGCACCGGACAAGAAAAAGGCTAGGAATTTGGATCCAAATGCAAAGAATGGCGTGGAGCAAATGGTCGCAAGGACATCCCCGAGACGCTGGAGCACAGGCCCAAAAGCAGCAGCTCCTTTACAACTTGATGGCGGCGGCGATCAAAGTTGTGACCGCCAGGATCAAGAAAACTATCATGGCGGCCAAGAACGATTTCCTAAGCAACATTGCGGCGGAAGGCCACCAAAACTTGTCAGCGCTACTACAAAGAGCGAAAAAAGCTGGAATAGGAGGGAGGAAAACCCGCCCGATTGTGCGAGCCATGCCCCTCCTCGAAGACCCAAGAACGGGCCAACCCGCAGAAGCAGCGGGAGACAGGGACCGCATCTGGCTGGAGCATTTCGGCAAGCAAGAGCTGGGCACGGTTGAGAAGGTCACGGACTTCATCAAGGTTGGCATCAAAGGGGGCGACCCCGAGGATGTGCAATGGACATGTCAGCTCCTACCTGACATTTATGAAGTGGCCAAGACGATGCGAGCCGTCCCCAAAGGGAGAACGGCAGGACTGGACAACATCCCCAGTGACGTCCTCGCACGTTGCCCCTGCAGACTTGCGGAAGCAGTTCATCCCCTCTTTGTGAAGAGCCTCCTAGGAGGGACCCAGCCCCTTCAGTGGAGAGGGGGTATCCTCTATGAGGCCTACAAAGGATCAGGACTGCAATCCCAGGTCGACAACTTCCGGAGCCTCTTCATTTCAAGCTTCTTGGGCAAGTCGCTGCATAAAGCGCTGCGAAACAAGATCCAGCAACAAGTTGAAAGCTTCCTTCATCCGCTTCACTTTGGGTCAAGGAGACATTCTCCGGTGATGTTTCCAGCACTGTTTGTGGCATCGCACCTGAGAAGGTGCAAGGCACAAAAATTGAGTGCCTCAGTGTTGTTCATCGACTCGAGGTCGGCCTATTACAGGCTGGCCAGAGAGCTGGCGACTGGACCGATAACCAGCGACACGGAGATTGTCAAGATCTTCCGCATGTTTGGACTCCAAAAAGAAGACCTCGATGATCTCATGGAGGAGGTCACTAATGGAGGCATGCTCCGACACGCTGGAGTCCCAGAGGCCATCCAAAAGGCCACCGGTGACTTCTACAGAATGACTTGGTGGGTCACGAAATACAGCAACGGAGAATTGCTGTGTCATGCCAAGGCGGGCTCGCGCCCGGGCGAAGCGTGGGCGGACGTGCTGTTCGCGTTTATCTACACGCGGGTGCTCTACAGGATCCACGAGCACCTCGAAGGGGAAGGTATCCTCTTCAAGATGCCTCTGGACAAGGCTGCAGGAGTCCACCCGCCAGGCAGAGACACGACCCTCCACGACTGCTGGGACACTACGTGGGCAGACGACACGGCTCTGCCTCTACAGTCCC